AAAATGAATCCGCCTCAACAATATAGAACTTATCTAGAATTGATTCATCCTCATTTTCTGATTTTTGGGAAGGTTTTAAGTTGATCGGTACCAAAATTTACCGATTACATGGAGTTAAATGGCGTTTTTTTCTTCCACTTTACCGAATCGATTTGACATGGATTTGATTCTTATTTGTCTCAACACTAATTGGTGTCAATTTCAACCAATTCTAATATCATTTTACACTTTTATTCAATTTTGAAAATTTCCCTCGATAAGGGCCTGTGCAAACTTTTGCGTCTTCCTCCTGTAGCTCAAACAGGATTTTTTTTTGAACCAACCAAAGTCGATGTGTCTTGCAACTTTTCTTTATCTAACCTGCCAAGGAAAAGTTCCATAAAAAAGTTGGTGTTCATTTTTTCGCTATGATCTATAATAAGCGAGCAATTGACGATTTCCTATCATGCAAAATTTTAGGGAATAATTTTCGACAATTTCCCCAATTTTGTAATGTCAAATTTCGCTTAAATGTTTTATATGTGAATCACCTTGTAAAGGGAAAAAATTATCGAAAATTCACCTGATGGGAAGAAAACCCTTGAGATTTACTGCAATTTTCATGTTTTATGATTTTTTGACAAAAAATAAGCTTTCAATCTAAAAACGAACGCCAAGTAAATCGTGTAATAATTAAGAATAAAGTTCCTTTTTCAATTTGTTACCTTGAACGCCCATAATTCGCGAGTTTAAAATTCCAGACGCCCCCCTGGTGGCTAAAACTATAACTATAAGTTAAGTAGTAATTTGACACTTGTTTTGTTGACATTGGTGTTTACATCTGATTGTGATTTGTTTTGTTCTAATCAACTTTTGCAAGCTTTTAAAGAGATGGAGCGAAAAGTGTGTAAGTATCGAAAAGTTTTGTTATAAATGTCATAAACTTCATGAAATAGACAAGTCTGATACTACCGGCCACAACCGGTAGTATCTCGCGAATACCATAAGGAAGCCAGATCGCGAATTTTTTTTTTAAGTGAAGTACTGAGCGTATTTTCAGGTCTTCCGTCGTCCTATCATTAACCAACAATTTTGAGACACCCTGTATATATCGGCTACGTATTTCTTGCGTTAAACTCACAAATTAATTTAAATTAGTAAATAACAATCGCCAACTCTACTAACTAGAGTAACACAAAATGAAACGACTACTAAAACCACAGCTTATAATCATGATATTTAAGCTGTGCTAAAACGCCCTAGTGCTGCCGCTCCGTGGGCAATTCGGCTACTGAACCAGTCCATCGTACAGAAAACTTCTGGTATTTTTACTTTGCGAGTTTCTCCGCACAGCAGCAAACAACATGCGGTGTTGCCACATATTTTTGAGTTTTTCCTTGTGGTTAATTTTTAGTCAGGTTTTTGTCTTAGCATTGTTGAAGTAATTGTTTAAATGAAATTAGAAATAGTGAGGACATTTTTTAGGATAAAAGTGCTCAGTTTGAAGTTTTCTTTGAAGTAAAAAAATAAAGCACAAAAAATTCACAGGGACTCGAACGACACAAGCACCAAATATTACTTTATACATATACTTATTTTATTTTCTCTCCATACAATACATACGTCTAAATGACGAGTCATAAAGACGGCTAAATGACGAATGCAAAAGCGTAAATTAGGCGTTAGGGTGAACCTTTATATAGGGGTTTAGACCGTAAATGCGTTAACAAACCTGTTCTTTTTTATAGAAAATCAATAAAATAGTTGTTTCCTTGTCTGGCGCTAACGAATGAAAGTGGGGTTAGATTTGAAATGGCCCACATACATTTGAAATGGCAACGTCGGATTTGTCCTATGTTCAGTTCGAAGGCCATACAAAACAGACGTTTCTCATATGTTTTGTGTGTGTGTGTGCGTGCAAACATTACATATTCAATTTGTGGATTTTATGAGTTGTTAATCATGGAGTGGAGTAACGATAAGAGTTTCCAATTAATTGACGAGTATAAGAAATGGCCAATTGTATGGGACGTGAAGCATCCGTCGCATTACTCTAAAAAGCAAAAGACTATAGCTTGGTATGCAATTAGTGATAAATTAGGTGTTAGTGTGGCCGAGGCTAAACAGAAAATGAACAGCTTGCTGGGGTCGTTGCGTCGCGAAAAGTCCAAAATATTGAGGGCGGCTGGACCAGGTCAAGGTAAATATAACAGCRAAAAATCTACCAAATTAGTTTTTCAAATTTCCWATAAACCGTTATCGTAYGTCCGCATGTGGAAATCCCCGACTAGCGCATAYATGCTAACTTGACTAGTTGTTTAAATGGCATGCGCAAGTTAGTTTAAGGTTACATTAATCAAAACAAATTTCTTTTTACCAAAAACGGGTATGTATCCTAACTATAAAAGAGTTATTATATTATATTCACTGTCTCTACGTAAACATCCGTAYGATTTAATGAATATGAATTTTAAAATCAAGAAAAGATTCTCTATTATACAGGGTGATTCAAAATTRGTGTCATTCCTTTTAAGGGGTGATAGAAGCTCCCTTGGGGAGTRCGAGAAAAATATWRAAAAMAWWWTTTTCGAAAATTTYTAGAAGATATTAACAGTTGAAGATCGAATTTCAACTTTGTTATTAAGCATAAWTTTGAAATTGTTCCATGTTTAATTGGTAGCATATTGRAATACTTMAGCATTCAAAAAGAAAAATTRCGATCTTTGCTTCAAATTACGAAAWTTTTTGATATCAAAAAAGTTCTCWTCTACAATTTTTTGATAAAAMGGCACAGCGGCAATGATGTTTTTTGTTATTAACAGATAGTTACAGGTTGTCAATAATAACAATAATTTGTCAAACTGTGACTTACTTTGAATTACCTTTCACGAATATGCGGATATGCGATTAGTTGGGGGAAATGCTACAGTAACATGGCAGAAGCTGAAAGAACTCACGCCAACAAAGGGCGAGGAGAGTGGTTCCATGAAGATAGTGGACGGCAATAGATGTTCGGGTTCCAAGCACAGAGGAACAAGTATTGGACATAATCGGAATCAGATCTTTCCAGGGGCACTCAGAGCACAATAACTGACACTTTCCCAAGCACCAAATAAATACCGAGGAAGGGCTACATTCCTACCACGTTTGTACGATA